TCACCCGAAACTGCGACAAAAAACACTTATATGTATTTAAGCAACAGTTGAGCCCCCTAACCGAAACTACAACAGTAATCGTTTTCAGATCAGCAAAAATTAGGAAGCAATATGATATACTGTTCTCCAGATTAGTTAAGCTAAACAGCTGTACTAACGGTTACCGTCCTCATCGATTCAGCAGCGAAATGATCGAGGTAAATTAAGTGTCTGTCGCTCTGTTTTTTGTTGTGGAGGGAAGAATTGTGAACCCCCTCTCATTGGGTCATGCTCTCGTGGAACCTGCCGTTATGGGGAACTGCCTGACAATGTGCGGTTGAGAAGTTTTTTTAAATAAAGAAACTAGAGTCGGAAAGAAGTAAGCACACACATATTGTGTCAGCGTTCACTTCGAGACTTTCTCTACGCATCTGCAAATGTCATTTCGGAATTCGTTCACTCTCTCCATCCCTCCGTCTTTCCTTTATTCCTTCTCCCTAACTCATTTTATTTTATTCTACAGCAGTCGTCTGTTCTTTCATTCAGTGATTTATACGATCATTATGCATGAGTTCATTCACTCGTTCCTTCTTTCATTTATTTACCTAAGAATTGATTAATTATTTCTCCCGTTCAATTACTTGTTTATTCTGTTTTACCCCGTTTCTTCGTTCGTCTATCCGATCCGTTCAGTCAAAAAACATTCCATATTCCTATCCATTCGTTAATTGTTCTTCGTTCTTTCCCTCATTTCTTCATTCTTTCATATCATCTGTTTCTCATTATTTATTCATTCGCCCGCCTATCAGTCCATTCGTCCGTTTTCTAGTACATGCATCTGTCCCCCTGTTCGCTCGGTTTATTCACCCGTTAGTCCATTTCTGCAGTTGCGATTTGTTTTTAATTGTTGATATACCAGTTTCTTTCGATTTTCTCATGGACCCGCTTTTCCTTCAGTCCAGCAAAGTCGATAGGCAGCTTTCTCGGTATTCATGACGTTCGATTGTCACCGCTTGCGTTGCATATTGCTGGATGGCCGCACCACACGTAAAAAGTATTCAACTGGTAGGCAGTGCTATTCAGTAGTGAAATTTGAGGCAAATATCGATTATTTTGAAACTCAGTGAGATTACTCAGTACTCAGCCTCGCCAGCGTTTGCATCGCCGCCTAGCTTCGTTCCGTTTACTTCGTGCACCACTTTGGCACTCGTTGCTAGTCGATTTTGCTTTTTATTTACTGTTCGTAAGCTGCTCGATAGACTCTGTTTCCTATCTGCAGCCGTTGACAATCATTCCTACGACTTTTATCATTTGTTCGTACCTCCTTTTTAGTAAGTTCGATTTAAAAAATACGTTTTGAAAAGCCTTTGTTTTCGCAAGGCAAATCATCCTTGATCCGGTGATTGGATGAGTCCGCAATTCAAACCTCATAGCTCTGATTTTTGACACACAAGGTTAAGTGGAAATTTGAATGCGACAGTTCAGCGGTGCAGCTCTTGCGATTTTTTTCACTTCCTTGTGTTCTTCCGAAATTTTATTATTGTTGTTTCACTCTTTTGGCAGAAATGCATGGAATACCATTGATGCTGCACAGCATGAGGGAATTTGCCGTGTTTCATTTTTCAAGACCAGGTTCTGGAATCGCCTTCCGTCGCGAATAGAAACGGAACAGAATTGAAATTTCGTCCTACCTCCAGTTATGTGGTATACAGATGTTCACCTGTTCTCCGGCTGCTGCATCTTAAAAATATAGGTTTCTAGCCGAGCGATTAGCACCATTGGTTCCACTACCTTGGTGAAACTTTGGCTCTCACTAATCATTGAGTTTCTTTTGTGTCATCGTTTCAGTTTTGGATCGTGACCTTGTCTTTTATCTCTCTCTAGATAGCCATAGACGACATCGGCTACTAACCTTCTGAAAGCTTTTTCGTCTTCGTAACCCTCACCTCGCCACAATATGTACAGGCTCCCTAATTCGATCTATTACAGCCAGCTCTTTTCATTCCCATGGGGGCTTATAAATCAGAGCATTGCAGACTGCAGTCTTTACACATTGAAAAATTGCAGAAATTTCTTTCACCTCCTCCCTGTCTTTGAACCTTTATATTGTCTCACTGATCGACGATCCGTTTGTTGTATGGGCATCCCCCCACGCGTGTTTCGAAATTCTGTCCCCTTCTGTTGTAGATCTGGATGGGCTGAAAGAACGTTTTATTGTCAGAGAGCTGTTTTTGTATATCTTGCGCGCGAATCGTGATGTACCGATGGCCGATGTGTACATATGCGCGCTTTTCCCTGAATAATGTTGACTTTGTGGTGTTCTCTGGAGTGGTACCTTTCTACCACTTCGCGGCTTCTAATGGAACGTCGACGCATCGTCCAAAAACTGGCCTCCTCGATGCCACACGGCGAAATTTGCTAGAGAAAGTAACGACCTTCCAGGCTGAGCAACATACACTAAGGCAGCAGGATTTTCTTGCTTTAGATTGAATGCAAAACTGCAGCAGCTTATCCGCCGTTTCACCGATTCCTTATGCTTAATTTTTTCTCCTCATGACCAAAAGGCGCAAGGCGCATTCGCTACCCAGTTGCTTTCATCAGCACTACTGCGCAGCTAACTACCGATTTGCTGATGCCAGTGATGAT